GTTCTATACATCGTACAGATTTGCCACTTTACAGGCAGTTTAAGGGGACCCCCCCAGTCATGATATTTAAAGTACATTTTCATTTTTATTGTTTCACTGATGTTAAAAATCACTGCTCCTTTAAAAATTGTATTTTTTTTAAAAGTGTTTTTTCCCCATTGATTTCTGTCCCCCAGGGCAGTACCCGGATCCCCATACCCTTTTATGGCCAATAACTTGCATATAAGCCTTCAAAATGGGGTCATTTAATTTTCAAAGTACTAGCCCCATAGACTTGCATTCAGTTTGAATTCAAACTTTTTCCATGTTCGAAAGTTTTAATTTGAACCGAAAACGGGGGTGTTCGGCCCATCACTACTAATACCATTAATATCTCTCCAATCTCTGCCATTACCAATTATTTATTTAGTTATTTATTTTTTACATAATACTCCATATACCTAACCTTGCCAATCAACCTGTATTCAATCAGGCAGGCCCTTACAACTCAATAGTTGTTGATGGATCTAAAGGCGATTGTACAATCAGATTGTAACATGTGGTGAGCTTAAGGGAACCCCGGATAACAGTAGAAAACAGTCGGGGGTTCTAACCTTTCTCCACTGCAAAACAAAAATGTAGTTTGACACACTTGAATAAGCAACCCAGTCATATTAGTCCCAGTCAGTTTAAATCATGGCTCCGTCGTCACAATTGTCAGATATCTCATACGGTGGGCCAAGGACAGGAAGGTTTGGTGGCCTGGTGACAAATGCTCCTTAATTAGGCCCGATCTGTAATGTCAGCACATGCCGGCCTAGCAGGGGATCATCGTCCTGGGTAACCAGCAGGCCGTGGAATCTCAGTCTGGCTCCTGTGTGGACAAGACAAACATCGTAAAACAAGTTCCCCTGACAAAAATAGCAAGGGAAGCGTCCCCAACAATAGGACGTCTTGTCTGCCCTCAGAACATGTGTTCGAATTTTTGTCACTTGCATGCTAGGCCCGGCAAAAATAAACACCGGCTGCCGTCTCCTTCTAGGAACCCTTGTTGATATTGTAGCCTGATCGGTGCACTGAGGTAAAAGGACGCTGAAATGTTCTCCTCTTTTTAATTCCTATAATTTATCCGTGACCGTCCCTAAACAAACTCAACAGGGACTGAATGTGCGTGGGGACTGACCTAAACCGGCAATGGAAAAACTGTAATAAGACTTCAAATTGGTCATTTATTTAGGGACTGTTTCACAAATAATGGGGGGAATTTATCAAAACTGGAGCAGACAGAATCTGGAGCTAATACTAACCAATCGGCTTCTATCTTTAGTTTGTTCAGTTAAGCTTTGAAGATGAAAAGGAGAATCTGATTGGTTGCCGTGGGCAACTGCTCCAGTTTTGATAAATTGCTCTTCATGACATATTGATATAGAAATATCAAATAAATACTACTACTACTACTACTGGGGCTTGTTTGCTGTTATCAGTAGCCTTCAATCTAAAAGGCTCCCTTTTTTAGTTTCCTGAAATGTTCTAAACATATACAGATGTATTATCTATTATTACTGATAGGAGTGCACGGATACTGTTTCTTCAGTATTGAGTACTGATATTTTGCTTTCGGTACTAACCGATATCGAGTACCTATACTCGATTGATATAGGTAATGACATGCGGCCCAGCTTCCTGATTGCCCGGGATGCCGGCTCCATGTTGTTTTGGCCCGGCTCGATTGTGATTAGCCAGGAAACCGGCGTCCCAGCCAATCAGGAAGCCGGGAGGCGGACCATTACTTGCCACCCGGCTTCCTGATTGCCCAGGAAGCCGGCTCCATGTTCCCCTACGGCACTGCCGGTCAGAGTAAATCCTCTGAACGGAAGTCCCGGTATTGGAGCATTTGGGCGAGTACAAGCACTCTCCCAAATACTCGGTATCGGTACCGATACTAGTATCGTAGTATTGGTGCATCCCTAATTTATTCATTATGCTATATGTTAGCCCTGATGAAGGGGGAGTGTTGTTGTCCCCGGAACAAGTTGACTGAATGTAAACAGGCTGTCAACTGCCCCCTAAAAAGTGATCTACCGTGGATTGAATAAAGTCCGCTGCTCACGTGAACATAACCAGAAAATGGTTTAGTTGGAGTTGCACTTTAATTTAGTACAGTGAACCCAGAAGCTGCTCATGATTGTTACATTCGTACAAAAATTCACAAAAATCATAGAAAGTATAAGAATGTACGTGAGCATCTTAAAACTATATTAAAGTCAAAAGGTGTTTAAGCTATTTCAAATGCTGATGAAACCATCACAATGGATGCTGCTTCTTCATTACCCTGATATCCTGTTTAGGGTGGCTCCTTTCCCTTGCAGGGTCCTATAGAGCCACCCCTGTGCTAGTAAGCAGTGTGTCTCCACAAACACACAGGCACAGCAGAGCAAGCCAGCAGTCCCTTCTCCTTCTTCCTCCCTTCTCCAAGCTAGTAGATGGACAGCTGCTGGAGACTGCTCTGTCCCTTGTGATCTTGCAATTGGCAGGAAGTTCAGGGAAGCTGACCCGAGAGTGTTGGGGCTGTTCAGAAGTGATGACTGTAAGTGATTGGGCGAAAATGTAAAGACCTGGACCTGTGTTTGACCTGGATTTATCATTTAAAAAAAGTTTTTGAGAATTTAATACTACTTTTAAAAAAGTCTCAGCGGGCTGAGTTTTCCTGGATTGGATGGCTGTTTTTTGACGCCATGCTGAATGACAATGAATATGCTGTCATTTTGGAGGATAAAGTTGGATAAAGACCAATTTTTTTTTTACGCATGGCTGACATTGGGGAGTTTTTGAACTTTTTATGACCTATACAATTTTGATTCTGTTTTGGCTGCCATGATGGTATCATCTTGAACGCCCCTGACTTTCTGTTTGGCGAAGTCTGGCCAGAGGGAAGATTTATTAGGTTGCACCATTGTAGGAGATCTGATCTTTAACATTCTTTAAATTCCACCACCCAGAGCCTGGTTAGAGAACTTTAATCAAGGGACTGCCAGACTGCAACCCAACTAAAATAAACTCATCTTATCTTCAATGGACAATTCAAGAAACATACATGCGTATTCACACTCTGTAGAAGAAATTTCCTTTGTAAAACCAGATTTACTTGTCTGTCTTATCTGGACGCAAGAGTTCCTCATTTAGTAACGGGAAATATAGGTCTGCAGGTATTTTCTGGGATTTTTTTTTACAAATATTACCGAAAGGTGAAGCGGTATGTGCTTTGTTCGATGTCAGGAAGTGGCGGAAAACGGGGCAAATTTCTTGATAGGATAAATGAACACCTAACGCTAAGGCCTCATTCGCACTAGAAACGGCCAGCATGTACAGCTCTATGCCCTACGCTCATGGATGGATCCTGTCTGCGTCCAAGCCGGGACACCCGCACCTGTACGGACCTGCACTTGAGGTGAGCATACGGCCGCTTATTCCCATAGAGCAGGACAGGGGCTGCGTACTAATCGCATGCAACACCTATTCTTCCCGGGAGCTGCCCGATACGGCCGTGCACGCAGCATGGAGCTGTACATGCCGGCCGTTTCTAGTGTGAATGAGGCCTAAGAGTACTGGCGTCCCAAATGCTGCATGCTTTTGGGGTGATTTTGAAGTACTCTTCACTCTAGTACTCCCTTCATAACCCTTATAATAAAGGGCAATGAATTAAAACTACAGGGAAAAGTAAGTGCCATCTAAGGTCACTGGTGAATGGCAAATACCACCCCCTCTTAAAGAGGGGTCCATCATGACCCCATTAAAGCATAAACCAACCACCAGCTTCCCAATATCAAACCCTAGTGGGTAGGCCCATACATTTTCCTCCGGTACTCCTCCTGGCTACTGAAGCTATTCAACCCCACCATCTCCACTTTCATAAATTCCGTCCCTTCTCCTTCTGTGGAGAGCCAGACCTTGACGGGTAAAAGAAAACCATCATTAGCCAACAGAAATGCATATTTCAACTACCTAGAAGAGATGGTACTTACCCCAACTGTAAAACCCACGTATCCTTCCTCCTGGTGCCACCCATGTTGGTAACGGCTAGCTATCATAAACCTCAACTACCCCTCTTTCTAATGGGAGGGTGTTTGGGGCTCCTCTTGCTCTTCCGCCACAAGATGGCTCCCTGTCTGCTCGACTTTAAAAAGACTACCCCTAATCTTCTCCCACCAACTTACACTTTCCAGCCTTATTCCCCTTTCTTCACCTCCAACTTACCATCCCACCCCTCCCCCTTTTTTTTTTTTTGCTTTCTATACTAGCCCAACTCCTCATTCGGATCTGGACTACACCCGTCATGGCCTCTTACACCTACAGGCCCATAGGGGAACTTTACAGTTCAGGAAATAGAAAACCATCTCTTCTTTCTCTTTGACGGTGGTCTCCACGATGAAAAAGTATCTCTGCACCATGTTCCATCTCCAATATTTGTTTTTAGTAAAGTTACATGACGCAAGGAGCAGGGCTTGTACTAATGGGTGTTATCATTGATTTATATCTATTGGCTGGCCAATAGGTGACATAATGTTACGCTCAAGTACAAGAGCAGTAAGATGGTGACGCATACAACAGCATAGAAGCAAGGGGGGCATCGCCGCAAGGTATATGGAGTTGGGTGCCATAAATTAATGCTTGGGTCAGGTTTACTGTAAGAGACGTCTTAAGTCCCCAGCACACTGCAATCCTCCTCATGCACATACACATATTGTACATTTCTGTGTTGTATAGCAGATAAAGGGTTAAAACGTTTTGGTTTTTTTTGCTAGGAGTGCTAAGTTTCTTTGTAGTCTTTACAGCGTTCGGCAGGCAGAGGTGTACATATCCCACCTTTTTATTGTATGCTTTGTTACTTGAGAGCAGCCTGCCTTGAAACGTGAGCGCGGGTGTAATTGAACAATGCTTCGTGCTGCTAAGTAGTCCGTCCCCTACCAGGAACCACTAACAATGGAATTTTTTTTTTTTTCCTCTTCTTTTATGTCTTGCAGTGATGAAAATGCACGAAAAGATCTGAAGGTCCTGCCAGCTCTTCCCACCAGAACTCTGCAGGAGCACCCATCAATTACCTACTGGTACGCCATTAAGACGCAGGAACTTCATGTACTTATAGATACAAACATATATATTTAATGGGATGACGTTTTCTAGATTGCGATAGCGGCTCGGAGGGGGAATACTGCTGCAAATATATGGAGACTTTTCCTTTCATAGTTCTTCCTCTGGGTGATCTTTGCTGCAGACCCTAGTTCAGGCACCTGCATTGCATTATGGGATCTGGGGAGCATGCCCATGCCAGGATCAGGTGCTATCTGGGTGCACAAATATGAAATGTAATAAGGAAATGGTATATACAGGGCCTGCTGTCGCACACTTAAATCCTGTTAACACTTAAGGTGCACATCAATGCGTGTCGCGTTTATGTGCGTTTTACCGCACATCAGCACAGGGCAGCCCATGCATTTCAATGGACTGCCCTACGTGCAACAAACGCAGCAAAGAAGCTTTGTGCAGCAGTTTCAGCTGTGAGCTACATGAGTTTTTTCACTGTGCATTTGAGCAATTACAAAAAAACAGTATCTGTGCATCCCTACTTTTCCCCTTCATCCCTATTATCCAATCGAGTGCAAGCAGAAACACTGTTTTTAGGTTTTCCCTTGCATAGTATTCTTTGCAAAGTGAGATTTCACCATTTCCTCTGATCTAAAGGGAAACTTCACCTGTAAAATGCAAGTTTGCCTAAAAAGTCAACAACCTTTTTTTGTCTTTAGTAAACAGACCCGCATAGAACAGACTTACTATTAATATTTTACTAGTGAAGATATGTGTATCTGATATGGTAGAAGCTTTGCATAGCACTGGAAGGGGCCGTATCTTCGTTGTCAATATTAACTTCTATTTTTTCTCTGTTTTACTTTCAGTGAAGATCGAGTGATAGAACATTTCAAAAAACTAAAAGGAGTCACCAGAGGCCTAGCAATAGTCCGGTAAGATCTGCATAAATGATTTTCCTATTAATGGGTGTCTGATATATTGGAGAAGATCCACATGAGATGACCTGCTTCTAGTTATTCTAATGTGCAAAGAGGTGGCAGGGACCCATGAATATCATGTATAGAACTTTATGCGAACTGTCACTTGTCACCCAAGCCGCAGGTCAGTCACATATTACAGATTTATTGGACATCATCGTGAGAATATTTCCGAGGTGGTAGGGGGGAGTCCCTTGCTATCCTTTATGATAGACCCAACTTTATTCGTAGGCAGCCACACAGTCTTCAATAGAAAGTACTGGGAGCAACTCGGCGACAGAAAACAGAAGAGCGTCAGACCAAAATGGATGTTGGAGTCCATAAAAAAGTTTAGGAATTTTGTTGAACAAACAGGCAATGAGTTTCAGGGGAAGACTCAGCCCCCTTCCTCAGGGCTTGCAAACTATGAGAATGAGCAAAAAAACTTATTGCAACTAAGGGTAGTTCTCCTTAAATTTGTGGATTCACTGACTGCAATCTACAAATGTTGGAAGAACTACCCACAGCTGCCATAAGATCTAAAATCTAAATTTATATTCTGAGTCCATTTTTTAATTCTCATTGTTTCCAAGACCTGAGAAAGGGGGTTGTTTTAGCCCCTAAAACACGTCTGTTTAACAACATTATTAAACTTTTTTTTTTATGGACTCTTACATCCGTTTTGGTCTGGCACTCTTCTGTTTTCTGTCCCCGATATTGTACATTATGTTCATATTGCGATGCACATTACTTATTGCAATTGAGGGACCAGAGAGTCATCCTTATAGTAGATTATTTGAAGCTGAACTCCAGCAAAATACATGTATAAATACTTACATTGGTCCAGCTTGGCATAATGCTGGACTCCTGTACAGGGATCCTGTAAAACACTGTAGTAGCTGCAGCTACTACAGTGTCTTACAGTGTTGTTCTGGGTCCAGGAACAGCCGCTGTGCTGAGTGACTTCCCCCTCCGCTGTTAAAGCACAGTGGATGGCTCGTTGGCACAGCGGCCATTCAGCGAACACCTAGTATTTTCTTCAATGAATACTAGGCCTTCTCTGATTGTACAAGGTGAGGTGATGTCACATCAGTGCCCCTCCCATAGGGGAGAATTCCTCTAACTTCTACTGCTGGGTCCCATCCATAACTCTGCTTTCTGCACAGGCTATGTACAGTACATCGATGATGTCACTAATATTTTTACAATGTAATAGATATGTTTGCAAAGGCATTTGGTGCACACAAAGTGGATTTATATCCTTTGTGGCTTTTAAGGAAAAGGTTTTTGTGCCCAGAGTTCAGCTTTAACCTAACGTGGTGCTGTGGGGAAAATTCAGATGCCGTTTAGTAAATCTGGGTCGTTTTTTTTCTGACTATAACACAAGCAGTTTCTTTCTGTCCTAATTTACATAACAAGTATAATTTATGAAACAAGAACACGTGTATTACTATTACTTATTTTGTTTCTTAGTTCTGTCTGTTTTATGTGTCTTTTGTTCTCAATCGGTTGCTCGCTCTCTTGCAGGTACATGAAAATAGTGGAAGCTTTGCCCACATATGGTGTTCATTACTATAAAGTAAAGGTCAGTGCTTGCTACACTATAAACACATCCATAAAATTGTTATTTTCTTGTTCAGAGACTTTATTACTATGGCAGGAAAGCCCTGTCTTTACAGAGTGGGGAAAAAAATATCCCGGCCGCATTCAGTGGTTTGATCTTTTATGAAGGTTTTCGGCTACCGTATGAAACGCTGGATGTTTTTTATATTGCTTTCATTTCCTTTGCATGCTATTTGGATAGGTCAGCTATGAGCCGCATTCCCTGTGTCTCCTTTTTTTTTTTTTTTTTTTTTTTTGAGGTCACGATCGTCCTCTGCATGTTTCTCTCTATATTTTAAGCTTCAGAATGAAGAGGACCCAGCGGACGCTGCGCTGCAGCACATTATTGTGCGCTATATTTGAACCATAGCCATAATGATAAAGAGCAACTCTATCCAGCAAGTGCCATTAAAACGGTCAACTTGCATTGCTATCCAGGGAACACTGCACCTGTGCTAAAGTTACTTGGTTCAATTGATTTACCTTCAATATTAAACTTAAGAGAGCCCCTTAAATGCGGCAACTGACTGTTGGCTGGTTTACAGGTTTTCTGTTAAACCGACCTGAATAACAGGAGACGGAATTACACATGCTGCAATGTGATCCATAGGGAAGTGCACACCCCCCTCCCGCTCTCCTAGTACTAGGGTATATGGTCACATCGCACCCCCTCTCGCTCTCCTAGTACTAGGGTATATGGTCACATCACACCCCCTCTCGCTCTCCTAGTACTAGGGTAAATGGTCACATCACACCCCCTCTCGCTCTCCTAGTACTAGGGTAAATGGTCACATCATAGGAGAAAAAGATTTTTCAAGAAGTATTAATAACAGTATAATACATATAAATAACTTTATTTCTATGTATACAATAAGTAGACACACCTGTAAATATATCTGACATTTGTATAACTTGGTTTGTGCTGTTTTATGTTGGTTGCCATCATAGGCTACAGAATACCAAAAAGAAGTGATTGTTGTGTTGTTTGTGGGATTATTGAAAAGGAAGTCGCCTGTATGTTGGAAAATACCACTCTCCACCGTCCTTTTGTACGTTTTGGGAAAGAGTTAGAACCTCTAAGGTTTTCTATTACTGTCTGTGTGCATGAATAGAGCAGAAATCCTCCACTGTGGGCAATTATCTGCAGATTTTCTATGGTCAGATGGAAAAAGTGCAACTGGTTCCTCCATCTATGCTAAACTGTGTGGATGGGGGAATCTCCCGCTGGGCCAAGCTTCAGTATCTTACTAGTCGACCCCGCTGGTTCTCAAAATACCTGAACAATGCCTGCATCCAATCAGATTGTTCAGGTATTGTGACAGCCAGCGGGGCCAACTAGCAAGATTCTGAAGCTCGGCCCAGTGGGAGATTCCTCCATCCACACAGTTTAGCGTAGATGGAGGAATCTGTTGCACCTTTTCCATCTGATTTATAGAAAATCTGCAGAAAATCTATAGCTGTATGGCCATTTTAAGATAAAAGTTCCCTTTTGTTGTCCCTTCCTGTTGTGGCCAGGCAAGAGGAAGTGCCCATTTAGTAATACTAATACCAGCAGGCAGTGCTGGGCTTTCTTGTAAGCAAGCCCAGGATCACAGAAGCACCCAGTATGCTGATTATTCGTAATATGTTTTATACATATAATTTGACTATAAACTATTAAACATTTTATAATTTGTAGAGATTAAAAGTAAAGTTTTTTTTTTTTTTTCCTCTTTAAACATGTTAACAGAAGTTTTCCCTTTAAATTTGTAATGGTGAATAGTCGTTTAATCCGAGTGCTTGCTCATGGCATATCATGTTTCCAAAACTGAAAGTAGCTTATACATGACATGGGCTTACTATAAACTCTGTCCAGATGTTCTGGAGGAACGCACATTCCATGTTTTACTAATTCTGCAGTTTGTACTTGGCTCCACTGAGCATGGCTTGTGGTGATTTTTACTGTATGGATGCCAGAAGACTCTTAAAAGCACTATAGACCTATTTATTGTGTTTTATTGAAAGATTGGAAGCAGAAGCAGCTTAATTTATTCTAAATTGCCACGTGCTGAAATGGAAAAGAGCTTGCCGTTATAGCAGACAGCCTGACTTATCTAATTCTGTGTATTGGCATTGGCTGCTCACTAATCACATATAGAGTGGTGACAATAGGCCATTCTGAACCAGGGGAGGGGTTGCCAACAGTGCAATGAGGCATCTGTATTAAAGCCATAGTTGTTGCCAGTAGTGTTTAAAGCCCAACTGATTCCAGGTGCATCAAACCAAGAGGTGTGCAGAGTCTAAGGCCCATTCACACTTCCTTCCTGAGACTCATGCAATTCCTGCTGGTGGGAAGTGCTATATACTAAAATTACATCTGCCACTGCCCTCTGCTATTTGCAGACCGTTCACATGTACCGGTAGTTGCATATGCTGCGATTACCTGCACCTGGATGCAGACTGCGTTCAGGTGCAATCACGTGCAGGTAGTTGCAACAGTAGTGTGATTTACATGTGAACAACCGAACGTGGTGGCCGCTGTCATTGCTTTGTACAGCTCCTCCTGACCTCAAGAGCTTCACGGAGGAATTTGTGAGATTCATGCATTCGGCCCCAGTTCTTTTCGTTAAAAAGCAGCCACAGCCTGAGCTTGCCCCCTGTTTGCATTCTGCAGAGAAGGATCCTTGCTCTCTGTGTGGAAACAGTGGTCTCTCTGCGGAGGTCCCACACACCTCCTAATGAGTTAGAACTCTCCAATCAGCAGGGAGCTTAAGCTTTACCGATTTTGGAGAGCTCTCATTCTGACACTCAACCTTCTGAAAGAATCTGGTTGGTATGAGTCCATGCAGATCTTATTTCAGACCCTATTAAACGAAGTTCAGTCTTTCTATAATTTTTAATTCTCATCACTGAGGCCTTGTTCACACCAAATGCAGACCAGATCCGGTCAGGTTTCTGCACACGCAGTGCAGTGGGTTGTGCCGTGTTTTTGACGCATTTTGGATGCGTTTTTGATGCGTTTAGGGCCGGTTTTGGTTTTTAAAAAAAAAAAAAAATTTTTAAGTTTAACATGGGCTTTCAGGCACTTGCATGCGTTTTTTAATGCGTTTTTGCGTTTTAGATGCGTTTTTGATGCGTTCCAGACCAGATCCAGAGCAGGTAAAATAGGGCTTGCCGCATTTTTTTCATCCGATCTGGATCTGGTCTGGATCCGCACGCTGCGATGTGAACTGGAGGTCAAAATACCATAGGAATACATTGGATGCAGTTTTGATCCGGTCTGCACCTGCTCTGGTCCGGATCTGCTCCGCGCTTGGTGTGACCAAGGCCTTAGACTTTTCAAGCCTAACAGAATGAGGAAGGGGGGGGGGGGGAACTAGGACTTCCCCCTTTTACCTTTCGTTGGAATGTACCAAGTCGCCCGGCTGGAACATACGAAAAACTACAAACAATAGCGGCAGTGTTCTGATTGTTAAGGTTGATCGCAGTCAAGGCCGTTCATTTTGTAGAAGCTGGACCCAATGTGTTTTCTTTTCACTGATGGTTCTTCCTTTTATTCTATATTTTCTAAGACACAATTTAGATTCCCGTTGAACCGTTTATTTAAGAGGTAGAAAAAACTTTCTCGGAAATGACTGCACCTTCTCGCTACAATGTATCCCTGTAGAGTTGACTGAATTTTAAGTGCCAGTAGACACAGATTGGTTGATATGCTAAAGGCAAATCGGCTGTTCACTGCAAGGGAATGGGAATACAACATTAAAACAGCACGAACCAAGTTATTTAAATGTCAATTGTATTTACGGTGTAGGTGTGTCTACTACTGTATAAATATTTGCTAATGGTACCTATACTCCGTGAAATGCTACTTTTTTAATTTACCATACTGCAACATTTTGACAGTGAGAGGGAGGGCACCACTCTAAGCTAATCAAGTCCTGAGTAACATGTTGATAGCAGGAGAGAATAGCCTGAGCAGCATGAATCGCCATCAGTCGTGGGCCGCATCAACATTATGGTTGCCCTTAAAGGGCCGGTTGTATCTGTAAGACTATATATAAATGTATCTAATCTTTATCATAATTGCCTCTGCATTCGATTATCACTGGTTTTAGTAATAACTTAATACCTAGATCTGAAAGTAGAAGTCTGGGAAATGGCCTGGTGGGCCGGATTCGGCCCCTGGGCCTTGAGTTTGACACGTGCCCTACTTGTCCAACTGGGTGTTCTTAACCCAGCTGTGCTTCTGCAGGGAAGATGGAGTTGAAATGAACGAATCTGATTGGTAAGGTCTATATAAATACACTTTTTCATAAAGGGCTATGATAAATGTGGCATACATTTGACAGCTAATATTTTTATGTCGAACATAGCTCCCTAATATCTGCTCTTCTTCCAGGACAAGCAAGGAATCCCCTGGTGGTTGGGAATTAGCTTCAAGGGAATTGGACAGTACGACATCCAGGACAAAATAAAGCCAAGAAATGTAGGTGAACTCGGAGGCCATTTTTGTCATGTGCATTGTGGTGACAAGGGGAAGATGCTGAAAGAGCTTACAAAACAGGAAAACGAGTCAGGTTGTTTTTCAGCAGCCTGTTGGTGTTCATTGGTAGTCCTAAAAGCAGGCAAAAGGACGGGAGGTGGTGAACTACAGATTCTGAAAACGTATTTTTCAGTCCCTACAGGCCTTGTGCTGATACAACAGGGGTAGTAGGGGAGTCGCAAGACTATGCAAAAGATTTTAGAAAAAGATTGCAAAGTAAGCAAATTATTCTATATGCATTTCCATTGTGTATATATAGTAGTATCCTAAATAAAGTTGCCGTTTAGAACCCCAGCAGGAACTGTTTTCTTACATTTGGCTCTTCCCATTCTTGAATGGGGTACTCAAAAGCCAATCAAAACAGTGCTGGGCAAATCTCAAAAACCAGTTAGCAGATGTGTCTGATTATTGCTTATGCTGTATTGCTGTCATTGGAAGGACATGTCATTGGCTCATTGAGTAGTTCCTGCTAGCTCCTAAACTAGACTGACTGGCTTATCAGATCTGCTTTAGATTTTCCACCCCTACGAGCTAATGTTGATATTGTCAGCTCTACATACACTGTATACTCAATGAGAGGTGTGTTAGGTGTTGGTATTATGAGTCCCAGTTGTTCTTTTTAGATCCCAAAATAGATTTCTCAGTTGGGTCCCATCAACTGAGTGCAACTTGGAGGGCCTCAATAAACCTATTGTATGAACTGTGCAGCCAGGATCTAAGCTGGAACAAATGGTTCTATGCTCGACATTAAGTAACGATTTACATGTATTCTCTCTTTATCCTTTAAGCGAGTCCTGGCGCTTAAAAGAGAACTATGAGGTGAGTGCTTTTCACTCATCCTCATAGTTCTAGCCGACCTGTGACAATGAAACTGTCCTAACCGCATAGTTCTCCTTTTAACTGAATGAGTAAATAAATGCTGTACCTGCGAATAAGCTAGTACATACTTACCTCTTGTCTTTGTTAAAGAGAAATCATCCTTTGACGGTTGTTTGGGGAAGTCAATCTCCTGTGTCCCCCTTTTGTGGTTCCTCCTGTCAACCTTCTACATCGCTACAGTACACAGCAGTGATATTTGGACTAATTAGGTCTCCTAACTTAATAATCGGCTAACTAATCGATTTTGAAAATAATCGTTAGCTGCAGCTCTACTTGAGTTGTATTATTGCAGTCCCACCTTTCAGCGAGCTATTCCACCTTTCTTGCCAAAGCAAAAGGTTCAAGCTGTCAGCTTTCATCATTGGGCTTAGGCAGGATATATGGCAATCTGTAAGGCTGTTCTATCCCCTGGCTCAGCTTGGTGCTGAAGAACAAGTACTGAGAAACCTATAACTAAGGAGCTGCCCTGATTGCTAAAGGTATTTAATTGACCGTTTTACCCTTCTCCAGCAACCTACTGAATGAATGGCTCTTAGTTCAGGCAGGAGACAGGACCAACTCCATAGGGGCCTTGAAGTCTGACACTGGGCTGGCATTTTTGCCCTGACAGGGAGAGAATACAACAAATTAACAACACACACACCCATCCCGGCAAAGTAAAGTTGCAGTACTATAACTTAGAATGGAGAGTCAAATTTCTACAAAAACCCTTATTTTCTGACCTGGTTCTTCTGAAAGAGATTCACTTAAATAATTTTATTTTTTCAATGTCACCTTGAAAGTGCTTTGTGCCTGGCAGTAACATCAGTTTCCTCCCTTTGCGCTGCTTGCCAGCTCCCCAGAACAGCGATCTGCCTATTATCCTGAATGAGGCTGTTTAATACCGGACGGAACACTCCTCCACCGCCATCAGTAAATGACTATGTTGCAGCTCAGAATAAAAAGGCATCGCTTATTATAGGCTAAGGCAGACTGACTCACAGTACATACTCCATTACTTCTCGTGAGTCACATATCATGTATTTATGACATTTTTGCACGGGTTAATAATTTTTATAGAATATACTATTTAAAGGGTTGAGCAATACAAGCTTCTGTAAAATATTCTACTTAACGAGCATGTAATTAAGATCTGCAGCCCAAATCTATGTACGTCAGGAAACTGGCTAATTTGACAAGGGGGTCATAAGCTCTTTCGCCAAATGGAGTGGTTATGTTGTAATAGTGTTTGTGTTAGGTGTGGGCTATTGGATAGATGTCCGAACGTCTAAACTGCAAACTTTCCTCAGGTCTGCGACTGGATAAGTAGTGACGCAAGTATGAGGATTTACCATCTCTAAACTTGAACTGGTATAAACAGCTGTAGCAGCTTCCACATATGTCCCCTGTTAAGTGAGCATATTCTTGAAATTCACAATCAATGGGGCAAATGTCGATCTGCCAGATTGGAATATAAAAGTAAAAGGAAACCTTTTTTCTTTCCCTGTAGAAGAGCTTGTGCACATGTGTCTAGGCAAAGACCAAATCCTGTCTCGTAGACACACTGGTCAATGGGGCATAACCATTGTTCAACATTACTAAGCGGAAAGCAGAGCCACCATGTGTAATATAATGAAATATGGCTCCCCCCCAACAAATATAAAATTACAATCTTTGCAAGGTATTTAAAACACTAACACGTGCTATTATAAGACTTCAACGGATCTCTTTCACGTGTAAAAAATAAATAAAATTGAAGTGTATCTAAAGCCAAAACTTTTTCTTTTAATTTTTAATGCATTAAAGAAGAAAGGTTCAAATTTGGGATATACCGATACTAGTATTGGTGCTGACACCAAGTATTTGGGTGAGTACTCGTACTTGTTCAAATGCTCCCGATGCCTATCCTGATACTGGAACTTTCGGTATCGGGAAGCTGGGCGGCGAGTCATTATCCGCCCCCACGGCTTCCTGATTGGCCAGAAAGCCGGCTCCATTCTTCCTCGTCACTTGGCGAATCGGGAAGCTAGGGGGCGAGTCATTACAAACCGCCATTAATGGGAGTTCCGGTTTTGGTATCGTCGAGTACCGAAAAACTGGTATCTGTGCATCCCTAGCAGTGGCGTGTGGTGCCTTCTGTGCTGGGTGAGACAATAGTCACAGAAGCCACAGTGTGGAAAACGAAATTGCCTATTAGAATTTCGTTCAAGAAACTCCATTCATTCCAAAATCGAATGTAAAGGGGGAAAAATAAAAAAGAAATTGCTGGGAGGTAGAGATTTTTGGTAGAGGAGACATGCAAATATTCTGCCCCCAAAAAATCTTCCTCTCTCCCCAGTGATATTGTTTCATTTTTTTGTGTACAGTATATGGCGCACGTGCCATGCAGTCTACACACTGAGCCCATTCATGGCATTTCTAAGTTGCTGGGAATCAGTTAGGTGCCTTGGAGGATGCAACTCCTGTGCGCATGCTTAGGAGTTGCATCATCAGTGACCACCCAATGGCTGAAGAGGACTTTTGAGAACCTGGAAGTATCAGCGGCAGAGATGTCGGTGGCGTGGGACAGCACTGAGCACTGGGGATCGATCCAACAGAGCTGGCCAGGGGCACAATTTTACGGTATGTGAGACCTAATGTGCAAGTACGCTGTGCATAGTTGCTCATTAGGGCAAAAACAAAAAGCAAATCAAAGGGGTTTTTACTTCCGTTTTTAAAAATCAAACAAAATTATGAATAACATTTGTCAAGTCTCTGATGTCATCAAATGTTGTGAGGAGAATTTTCATATGAACATTCATGCAAAAATCTACCTTTGTATGGCCAGCTTTAGACAACTGTGTCCACATTGGAAGACTTACCCTCTATTCTTATGGTAACATATCAAAATTTTGGATTTTCAGTCACCAGGACAAAAAGAGAGTAAATATTCCTAGGCACTCTATCCAAGACAGAAAAGAAAAGGTTTTTGCGTTGGGTACACTTGTATTTCACACAAATTGTACGTGCTTTACTTTACAAACCATTTGACAACCACAAATGTCCCTACATATGTTTCCACTGAATGGTGAGCTGAAGTTCACCTTTTAATTTACATCCTTACAAAGGGTTTTGACAAGCTGCGGTTATCACTCGAAAGTGGGCTGGCCCCGTCTAGTGGCCCTTTTCATTCCACCCTGAAAGTGTGTCTGTATTCCTCCACCTGTTCTATAAATATTTTCTGCTCCACTCCCCGGTGCTGCTGCTGCAGCTGATTTTGGAGGGCGGAGGCTACGTAGGGAAAGAATGTCAATGGGGAAAGAGGCTTCCTCTGTTGATTCATAACTTTCTCACGCTTATTATGCTAAATAATATGGCGGCTTATTGGGTTCTTAGTTGTCACAACACATTAGGCAGTGACACTGCTGCAGCTTTTGTTTGTGATGGCAGGTGAGACCGATATAGGAACAAATAATACAAGTCAATTTCCTGTTACAATTCTCTTTTATATTCCACCTTTCAGAAGGAGAGACCGCTCTCACCAGGCCTGTGACCAGTTTCGTGGTTTGAACAGTATTTTGTATGACCGAGCATTCAATAAATAGTAGAAAAATAATGATTAATTAAGTACACATGACGGTAACAGGCATTCTAGGCACAGGAAATGCAAGTCCTATTGTGTACAATTGTTGAATTGTCTTTAAGTGGATCTAAAGCCAAAACTTTTTTTTTGGATAGAGTGGAAGAAGTAGAACCCATTGCTATATTTTTTAATGTTGTATGTGTCCTCTGTTGAGGGATGAAGATCAGGAGAGGTCTGATGCAAGCATGTCCTTTTATTGATGCATGTTCACTTGATCACAAAGCACACATCGTGTGCTTTGTGACCATGCATCAATAAAAGATGTGCTTGCATTACTACTGGGGTGCCGGTGACTTTCCTGATTTTTTTCATTGTCTGAAAACGTCGAGCTAACCGCTTGTCACTGTGACACCCACCACTTTGGTATATTTACAGTCAGGAGTGCGATGTTCACACAATAACTCATTGGAGGGATTCACTCTCTCTGTGGCCACCAATACACAATGTGATGGGAAATTGAAAA